GACAGTAGCGAAGTGGAAGTGATGGAAGAGCAACAGCAGGACGACGCAAGGGCTTCCTGTCTTTAATCTCAAGACGCCTGCTGTCGTGTTTCAGACGCATCAAGTGGATAAAACATTCAGGTCGGCCGCTACCTGACCTCCATCCTCTTTCTACATTGGGCGCACTGATTTTGGGTGTTGTCACAGCCAAGTTGTTGCTTTTTGATGTTGTGTTTTGTCATTCTCAGGGTTACACTCACTATAAAGAGTTAAAGGAGGGAGGCTTCCTGAATCTATAGACAGTTTATTACACTGGATTGAAACAGGAAATACAAAACAATATTAATGTAGACAACACAGGTTATAATATGCAACATGTTTCCTTCCTTCACTTTTGAACAATCATAAATACGTGTGAATGACAGTGTTGAACAGTTTCTACAGATTCTTCAGAAACTTTTCCAAGGCTGCATAAACATTTGCTGATCGGTCCGTTGTTGTGCCTGCATGGCATTAAACCTTCTACCCTCTGCCTTCTGCTGAGACCTCATCATGTTCTCAGAGAAAGCGTTGGGCTTGATGGGTTCGATCCACATTAAGCATCTGCTCCAGGAATCTTCTTTGTTCTGTCTGACACCAGAGAAGATTTCACTTTCCTCTTCCTGGACTGACTTCCAGGAATGGGCGGTCAGGGTGTCACTTTTTGTCTTCTGCCTCCACGTCAGTGGAGTCCAGCGACTCTCCTCTCTCCCGTCCTGTGGTGCAGCATCTTCCCCTGTCAGTAACAGCAAGTAGTTACTGAGTAACGCTCATCAGAGACTGAACATGTTAACAGTGGTGGTAGGAGTAGGCTGTAGCTGTTCTCCGAAGCTGACCGGGAGGCCACTGCTGCCAGTGATGCATGCGTTTATCAGGAGAGTGGCATTAAGTAACGTTTAATATTGTTCTGTAAAAACACTGAATACTGCTTTTATTAGTGCATGTGCACAAAAACAGTAGTTCAACAGTCGTGAAAGCATTGCTTTGTTTTTATTTCAGCCAAAACCATAGGCCAACTTCTTGCTGCTGATATGAATATGCTGTTAGTTGAACCGTCGGGAGAGATATTTATGTAGTTAAATACTGTATACTCAGAGCCTCTGTGGCAGCATCATCTGGTCTGAGAGGCTGTTGACAGCTCAGGTTACTTATTGTAGTAACGAGTAACCTTAACATAACTTGTTACTTTTAATACCCAGTAATAAGTAATGTATATTATCCCTTTTAAGTAACAAGTAACTTATTTAAATTTCTGAGTAACTTGCCCAACACGGTTGTTTTATAGTAGCCTTGTAATGGTAGGCAGATGTGTTTTTAACAGTAGTAATAGTATAAACAGCAGTTGTTGTTACAGTGATATTATAAGCAGGAGTATTAGTAGTAGGAGTAGCTTAGTTGTTGTTGGTTGTAGTACAAGTATTATCATTTCTAGCAGAAGTAGTAGAGACTAGTAGTAACATAGATGCAGTAATACAAGAACTGATGAAACCAGCGACAGGCTCCAGTTACTCACCGTCTCCATCCAACTCCACACCAAATCTGATGTGTGCTGACCAAATGTCAGGGAGGCATTTCACCTCCTCGCCGCACCAAGTCAACACGCGATTCATTTTCACGGAGATGTCCGACAATGAAAAGGCGAAACAATCTAGATCTAGTCTCTTGTTGGGGGAAAAACGGTCCGGGGCAGGATATATTAAACCCAGTACACACTGCAGTTTTCCATCTGAAGGCATCAGCTGATCTCTCATCAGTCCAGTCAACTGTGGTGTTTTTATGTTAACCAGCTTTAGTTCATGTTTATCGAAAGATAATAGTTCAATTCACTCAGTTAATGTTAAATTTCAAGTTCTTTGGCAACAAACGAGTTTATCTTCAGTTATTAGATTTGTTGTTAAAGTTAGAAACGCGTATTAGTTAATCTGCTCAACGTGACTCGCTTCTAGGAAAGTTGAACCTGTAAACTGCAGATAGATAAT